TGTGTGTGTGTGTGTGTGTGTGTGTGTGTGTGTGTGTGTGTGTGTGTGTATTCTGAAACAGAAGCTAAAAAAAATAACATTTTTTTATATCCTTTATTGTCCCTCAGTGGGGAAATAATTTCTCTGCATTTTTCCATCACACATGTGGAGCAGTGGGCTGCCATGTAAGGCAGTGCGGGGAGCGGCTGGGGGKTTAAAGTGTCTGTGTCTATATTTATTTTAAAAATCTGATGTCACAGTTGTAGAAAGATAACATTAATAACGTATAAAAAATTCCCATCACTGTGATGAACATTTGTTGAGATACACACATGTAAAGTAAGAGGAAGTGATGTCAACGGGTTATGTTTTCACACGAACCGAGTTGCTAACAACACTGGAGAAAAGAATCTGATGTTTCTTCACATTATTGTGAGTCACTATCAGAGAGATGATGAAGAGTCAGAGTTCTAATAAAGACCATTGAGTTCCCCTTTGATGTCACTTCCTGTTTCAGCCCAGGTCAAAAGACAATATGCCAGTTATGTAACAAAAGGGATAAAATCATGTAAAAATAAAGATGTTTTCTGTGACTTTTTGTATTTGAAGGATTCCAGGGCCTTGCTCAAGGGCCAAGAGTAAGGCAATTAAGGGTTGTTGGTTTGGGGAATTGAATCAGAATCAGTTTTATTGCCATTGTCAATGAACAGGATTCACAGACAATGAATTTGCTTCTGTGTGAAGGTGCAACAGGTATCAAATATAACAAATGAATAAAAAAAAAAGGATAAAGGAAAAATTTAATAAAATTTATAAAACATATGTACACCAGTTGAATAAAGTAATGGCAGCAGACAATATATTTGGAGTAGTGCAGTTAGAACCAGCAATAAGGAGCACCACTCCCTTATATGACTCAAAGGGGATAAATAAAACTAGAAAGACTGAACTGGTCCTCTTCTGTCCAGAATAACTTTTTGCTGCTTAAGAACATTTGTATGAATGTTGTGTTAATAAAATCTTAAATTCTTGTTATTGCTGGATGGATAAACCAGTTCAACACATCCTGAATAATCTTCAGATTGTAGATTTGTTTTATTAAAAAGACTACACAGAGGAAGAGAATAACTGCTTTATTACCTGCTTAGCTCGGGTAATAAACTCACCTGTCTGCAGGCATGTAGGCGTTGAGAATGGATCCAGCCATTGCTTTGGTGCTCGCATTATCGCTGATTGTACCCAGGCTGACTGTGGCCGAGTCCCCGCTCAGACTGCAGCGCTCCTTCTGCACATCCGCCTGCACCTCCAGCCTGACCACACAGGAGCAGAGAGATTGAGACAAAAACAGACGCAGGACACTATGAGAGCAGGTGCTGCAGGAACACCTAAATGTCAGCACCTGTTCAGGTAATTGACCATGACACTGCCAGAGAGGCTGCCGGTGATGCTGCCTGTGATGCTGGCCCCAGCTAAGGCCATGGTGGAGGCCGTCTCGCTCAGGTTGTCCCTGGTGGCTCCCAGATGGTCCATGTGGCTGCCGCTGGCACTGAAGCTGCCTGTCATCCCTCCCACACTGCCCTCCCCGATACTGGGGTTGTTTCTGGTGTCTGCCACTGATGTAGAGTCTTTACAGACAATAAAACTCAACATGAGACAAGTAGTACATTACACATGCTGAAATACATTTAATAAATTAAATAAAGAGGTAATTTGATTAAAAATAAATAACTTCACAAACTTCCTTCCCACAAAAAGCAAAAATAAACTTATTGAACACCACAGTAAACTTATCTCCTGTGACATTTGCAGATTTGTTTCCCAAAGGCACCAAGTTGTATCAGACATTCATTTAAAGAGACAAACTGTGGCGTTCAGCAGACAAACAGGTCAGCACACAGCAGCAACACGTACCGGTGACAGCCGCCCCGCTGCCAACATTCATGTCGTTCTCATCATCAAACTCGATACGCACTCCTTTCCCATTTCCTGCAGAAACGCCACAACCTCCGCTGCGACACAGAGAGATGGGCACCACGCCGTAAACGTACGCAAGCATGATGGGAACGCCGATGCCTGAGGAAAATATAAAAGCACGTAAGGAACCGGCATAGTCGAGGGATAAATAAAAGCTAGCTTCAGATCCACAGTGCATACTGTCTGTGAATGAGATGAGACGGACTAAACACTGCTCTGATCTCCCCTCGTCACAAAGAGATCATGAAAATAAACTTCAGCAGAGTATAAATCTGAACATTAAAGCAAGGACATACCAGACGCCTGCAGAGTCAAACAGGGAACMAGGATGAAAATAAAGAGTCAGATGAGAAAAGAAGCTTGATAACGAGCAGGCTGGGAGCAGACTGACCTACAGTGACTGCAGCCACCACCGGAGACACGATGGCAGAGAGGGACACTCCACCAGCGATCACCAGGTTCCTCTTGTGGTTGGAAATATCTTTACCTTCGTAGCGGTTATGGATCTRACCAATCAGAAAGACGAGTGTGATGAGACAGTCAGAGACGATGAATAAAAGTTTAACACAATGATAAACGTAATCACTGATGAACATTGTAATGGTTATAAACATTCTGAGTGACTCTACACAGCTCTTAATTTAAAAAGGTCTTCAAAAAACTTATCAAAGGCTGTATTTCATCTAAGGTGGTTTAGATTACCCCTAAACTTATATAAACTTACACAATGAAAGGCTAAAAGTGTTATGGGGAGGAGAAAAATGTGCAAATAACCAGCATCACCACTAACAGTAGCAAAGAAGGTCCTCGTGACTAAAACCAGCTGAAAAAATCTGAAATGCTGCATGTGGAAATAACTGCTTTGAATCATCTGAGAGAGAACTGAAGTGACAGTCAAGCCCAGTTTCTACAGAAGAATTACAACACATTTCAGTATGTGGCTCCCAACAGACTGGGTGGAATGTTTCTCCAGTCTGGGTCAGTGCAGGCCATGACTCGCTACAAGACTGCGCACAAAAGATTTTAAAAAAATCTTTACATGCTCAAACTGCAGACAGGATCAATTTTGTGTCTTTCAGAAAACAATTTCCAGTAAAGTAGCCGTCTTTCAGGTTGGTGTATCGTATGTTAGACTGGCTGTGTGTGCTGCCAGACACACATATGATTCCTCATGTGATGAGAATATACTTTAATTTACAGAGAATAATCTGGATGTTTTGTGCAGCACAATAATCTAAAACTAGAAGAGTTCCTGGAGAAACAACAAAATTTTAAATTTAAGATTTGTCTTTAATATTTGTTGAAGACAAACTAACCAGGACAGGTTAAAGGACAGATCTAAAGGTTGGTGTTCTGACCCTTCAGGAGTCTGTAGACCTCAACAATCAGTGATGGCTTCTGATTGGCCCAAAGAGTAACTGTCTTTGAGTATCATGATCAATGGTGACTGACTCAGTCTGGTCTCAAACCAGTCTTTTGGTGCCTCTGGGGACCCTTCAGGTCACACCTACACCAGCCTCTAAACTAGTTTGGTGACTTTAACCAGTGGTGTGAACACAGACAATAACATAACTGTGATGAGATCAGAGGCACAGTGTGGTGCCAGAGTCACGGTTTGACTACATTAAACTTGATGTGGGGTAAACAATCAGTCCTTCAGTAACTCAATCTCTGGCTGGAAATTAAACACTTTCTTCAGTCTCAGCTCTGAACTTGAGCTAATTTATAAGTGAGCACCTTTCCCCTGTCTCCTTTCTTACTGCTATTTAAAAACAGGTACCTTAGACAAAACAAAGCTGATCTGAAAATATAGACATGTGACCAACTTTTAGAAACTAAGAGGCAGATTTAACATGAGGACCAAAAAGCAACATATTTGCAGCATATGCAGATTCAGAATGCAGGCTCTTTTTTAAAGGGGAAGAAGTTATTTGGCTCTGGTTTTTGTTGGCAGCCTTACGTGGGGAATTTTAGAGAATCTGAATACTTCTCTACTATTGTAGAGTGAAATTCTTCTTCTTTCTAGGTTTGCACTTGTAAATAATGCAGATAAAATGTTTATGCACACAGACATGCAATTAATAAAGTTCAACAGCTTGAGATAAATATAATTAATTTTAAATGTATGCCTTTTTTTACATGGCGCCGCGCCAGCAGGCAGCTGTGGTAGCAGCTCAGCAAGAACTCTGTTTTGTTCTAGTTTTAGTCTATTTTTATATTTTCTATGCTGTCTTTTTTATTATTATATTGCTACAATTGATAATGTCACATAGCAATATACTGTTTCTGTGGATTGATGTTTGTATCTGCTGCTGCAACTACACCTAAATTTCCAATAAAGGCTGTTTCTATTCTATTTTCAATCTACACAGCATTAGCTAATTTGTTGTTTCCTTGTAGAAATGTAGACATTCAATAAACAAAACATAAATTTCCAAATCTGAGACAGCAGTTCTTCACAGTATTCAGCATGACTAATATTAAACCTCTGAAAATTTAACTTGACATAAATGATTGTGGTGATTCAATGGCAATTCAAACAGACTAAACAAATCATCTACCAGCTGAAACTACAATCAGATGTCTGAGACGTCTGTAGCCTCACCTTCCTACCCACGTATACAGGGATCCCAATCATCATGGCGGGTATAGCTATACCAGCGATCAGTGCGATTCCAACAGGAGCGCCCACGAGTGTTCCCAGCTGCCACAGAATCTTCTTTTTCCTGCTCCACGGCTTCTTCCCCCAGAAAGTACAGCCTGATGGACTGAAACACAAGTCAGGGAAAATGATCAGAAACTTCCACTGAACTGAAGGTTATAATATCAACCACTGTTCAGGAAACAATATATCAACCAATTTGCAATAAGTTTTAACAACAAGACCAAACGCTACAAGTAATGGAAAAAAACAAGGACCTATAAATTTTAAATATTTCCAACTTTTCCAAAGCAGTTTATGTGAATTAAAATGCTACTTTCCAGAAATGTGGACTCAAATACTTACCTCAAGTAGTGCAAGTCTGAGATCTCCTTCATGCAGAGCCAGCAGAACTCACAGCCACAGACAGCGCAGGTCATGTGGTTACAGCTCCCATCATTCATTTTGATGATGTACGCGGCGCAACGAGGACATGGTTTGATGTCATCGGCTGAGACAAACAGAATGTGATGATGCACAAATGGTAAAACAAGCTTTTAACTCTAAAAGTACCAGACAGCCTTTAGAGGGAAAACACTGATGTGTGCTTGGAAGTGAGAGCACGTCAAACAAAAATACATTATCATCACWAAGCACCAATCGTAGTAATCCCAAAGTGCCAAATTTTAATCTGGGACACTTTCTCTAACAATTAATCGCACAGGATACAATTTTGCACAAGCCTAGTGTTGACTGACTACCACATAGAAACCAGTGATCAGCTCTACACCAACAGCTCAGGAGTTGGGGGGTACCCATTTATGATAGGTGAAACACTGCAGTATGTAACCAAACAAGTAGCTCTTTGTATTATGATTAATAAAATCCAAGCAAATTTGATGTTTAATGATCGATTTATTAAGAAGAACTCTAAAAAACAGTTCATTAAAACTTTTAGCCACCACCAGTCTAAATTATGTTGGTTTTTGTTCTGCCAAACTCTTGACTGAAAGCAATGCTAACACTGTTCTTTAAATAGGAAACATTTGGACAAACCATCTATAATTGCCTGAGTAGAACACAACGTTCAAACAGTTGTGCTAAMAGGTTCCAGACAGATTAATGAGGCAAGTTATGTCTGTTGATGACAATCATAGGTAAAATCTAAGAATTTGGTCAAAATAGAGTTGATTTAAACAAAGATTTCATAAGATGCCAATGTCTTAATTCCTACAATTTCTTCTCATGGTGTAGAGTGAATACAGACATGGCAAAAAACAAAAGAGAAGACAAGGGAAAGGTGTTTGTGCAGTTTGAAGTCATCTTACCTGCAGCCCCGCTCTCCTGACTGTAGCTGAGGGATGACGAGCGCACCGTTCTCAGGCGGAGGCTGTGGGCCCTCTGTTGTCGAGCAGCATCACAGGTCTGGTTGGGATGCCACAGCTGCTTACAGTGGTAACAGAACTCAGTCCCACAGCCCTCCCTGCCACATGTGATCTTTGGACAGCTGGCACACCCAAAGGCTATTACTGCATATCTGGAAGAGGACAAACAAAGTGTTCCCAACTGCTTTCATTTCTTTATTTTATTCACCTTTATTTAATTAGGCAAATCCCACTGAGGTCACAGATCTCTTTTTCARGTTATTATTAAAAACAGTCATTTTATATCAACTGACAGACGTATCCTTTAGAATTCAATAAGACAAAATGACGATACAAAAACTTCTAAAACTGTTTATATATTTAAAAAGATGATTAAGYCAAATTTATTGGGAAAGTATAATGCCATGCAATGTTTGGTAGAGATAGGATAATGAAAGATGCCAAATGTTTTTGTTTGTTTACTTTTCAAATTTGGAGATTGTTCATGCTTAAGTTGGTTTTTATTGTTATTTCTTTTTTTTAATAAGGGGCAGACATAGGATTTATTCATCTTTCTGCACCCTTATCAGTGTTTCATCTAATTTTTTCATGATTTTTTTTTGTTTTACTGAATTAAATAAAATAAATACATAAAAAAATGAAAAAGATGTGACAACAGCTTTGCAGAAAAATGTTTCTGAACAGGAAGTTACTCAAATAGAAGAAATGGCAGGACGCTGCTGGCTCTCCTAACGCGGCAGCAGCACAGAATAACTTTAACAAAACCATTTCTGACATTTGAAAATCACTTAATAATCATCCATGTCCACAACCAATTCATCTAAAAGTAAATTAAAACTCCAACCATGACTTTTCTCAACTGCCTTCTTTGWTACATTCGTCCATTCATTTTCTGTTACCCACTTTCCCTCTTTGGGTCACATAGCATCTGATCCAGCAGTCACTTTTCAAGAAGCAGGGGACACTCTGGACATGTCCCATCCATTAAAGGGACACAGAGTCAAACAACCACTCACATGCTCACTCATACCTAGAGGTGATTTACAGGAGTACGCATAGTAGGGTTGGGCATAATCGTATCGTGTGCGAWTAATCGTCAGAAAAACAATCAGAAAAACAATCGATTATTTTTTGGCACTTGACRATTAATGCAATTAATGCCACCAGGCAGACTTACTGGAGATTTCTCCAGTMAGTCYGCTCGGTGCTCCTCTCCACTTCAAATATGACAAACATAAAAAAAAGTTCTGTAATTTATTTATCAATCAATACAATTWAAAATTTGATGTATAGCCTGAAGTCTGTAATTTTGACAAAATTTGGAACAGATTTTTACGAAGAGCAAATCTTTCCCACTAAATTGGTMATGTGACTAGGACATAAAGGTGTCCAGGCACTCCAGTGGATTAATCGTCAAATTAATCGTTATCGGCTAAATACCACAATTAATCGTGATTAATTTTTTTGCCAATATTGTCCCAACCCTAACGCATAGAGAACAAATGTAGAAACAAAGCTGCTGAAATGACAACTTACAAATAAAAATCAGTGCTTGTACAGCAAATGTTATGTTTATTGTGCTAAACTACACTAATAAAGCTTGAGAGTGCATGCTAGAGGCTTTATAACACATGCTTAACATTGTTCTGTAGGTTCTGTGTGAAATATTTTAACAGTGCTTAACACTTAACTCCTATAACTGTGTTTACATGACCTAACAAGGCAGCCTGTTACCATCTCTGAATGACAGTATGATGTGATGCAGACCACAGTCCTCACAGTTGGGGCTGAAAAGGGGTCAGAGTTCAAACTGTAAAGTAAATGTGTTTAAAAATGACAGCTGCATGGTACAGCAGAGCTAAGTTTCCTGTTATGTGAAGTAAAACTGGTTCATGTAGCAGAAGTCTATCTGCTCCTCTGGGACTGACCTCAGGATTAACATTTAATCACAGAACCACAGAGAGCCTGGGAGACTTCCTCCTTTGTGGATCAATTTTCACTATCAAAAACATGGTCTCGAAGCAACCAGAGAGGAAACTAACCCTGACTTGATATATTAAGAACCGTTTCTTGTACAGTACACTTTGGACTGGAGTACAACGACTGATAAAACAGGAAATATTTTCAATCTAATCAAAATTTAGAAGAAAAAAAAAGTATTGTATTGATTTTAATATTTCCTCTGTGCTGCAATTTTAGGTTCCTCCCATCAGGATGGATTTTATCTGATCCTTCCTGATTTTATCTTGTCTTATCTTTTTATTCTGATATTGTTTTAAGGTTGGAAGTTGTATTTATTTTTATATTGAACACCTGGTCACTTTCTAGTGTTGCATCTATTTTTCTGTCCATGTCACATGTCTTGTTTTGGAAGGAAGCTGCCTCACTTCACTGTAATGAAATTTACATGCGGGTGTAGATTTGGACAAACTTTGTAGAGGCAGGTCAAAGCCAAACAAGAATTAAAAATCTATCAGCCCACAAAACCAAATGAATTGCATTTCTACATTATATAAATAAGGTTACAGAAATAAATTACCTAGTTTTCCATAACWATAAAATCTGGACTCGTTACAATCAAGTTATAAACCAACAAAGGTCCAATACGCTCCATCCAAATCAGMAGCAGTTTGACTCCTCTATGAGCTGGAGCCAGTTGAACCCAGAGGTGCCTCTAAAATTAGTCACATGGTCAGACTGAGATTCTGGATGGAAGCAGGCCAGTGAGTTGTTATYAAGGAGAATAAGCTGCAAAACTGTGGAGCCTAGCTGGATTACGGATAACATGACACCAAGAACAAGCTGTGACTGCAGGACCATTTCCTGCATCTTTTTAATACAAAGCTCAAAGCATGCACACCAATCTGTGAGAGGAAACCAGAGTACTCTGAGAAAACTCCCCACGTGGACAAAACATGCAAACTAAAAAGTAAAAATAAATAAATCAACAAATTATATTTGAATAAAACCAATTGTTTAGAATAACCAATTAATTAAATTAGAAATAGCTAAAAAAAAACCTGGATAAAAATAGTTGTTGGCAGTACTGTCAGTGTGTATTTATTACTTACCCACAGTCTGGGGCAGGGCACCATCGACAGTCTGGGTCAGCAACCAGCCACCTCCTCAGCATGAACTCTTCATATTTCTCCATCAGCCCTCGATCGCCCAGGATCATGCGTATATCGTGTGGGTTAAAGCGCTCTGTGCACTCGGGGCAGCTTATATTGACACGTGACTCTGAGATCTCAATACGCAGGTACTGGCGCAAGCAGTCGATGCAGGAGCGGTGGTGACAGGTCATTATGTCAGGGAAGCTCTCCCTAGAGTGGCGCAGAAGGCACAGTGGGCACTCCAGTAGCTCTGAACCAACTCCAGCCCTGGAGGAGGAGGAGGTAGAGGATGAAGGCCCTAAGGCAGATGAGGTGGAGGCAGCAGCAGCAGCAGCAGCAGCAGCAGCAGCAGCAGCAGCAGCAGAGGCATCTCCGGCCACAGCCACAGAGAAGAAGTCGGAGTTCTTGTCATTACACATCTCTGAGTGGATGCTCTCAATGCTGGCAATGCCATCCACTCCCGTTAGCCCTCCAGGCCCAGGGAGCTGGAGTTCTCTGGACCTTTCGCGCCCCGATTTAGAATCTCGTCCCCGTCTTCTGAAAAGAGAAGCCAGGGAGAAGCGCCTCTTTTTCGGAGCCTTCTTTACAGAWGGCAGGGAGATGGAGGAAGCTGTGGACTGCAGGTCCCGGTCAGAACCCATCACTCCACCACTTCCACARCTCAGCTGCTGGTGCTTCTGTAAGCTCATCTCTCCGGGGGGAGGGGAGGGATGTGCCGGCAGGGAGCCAGGGCTGGGTAGCCTGTTCCTCACATGGGCAGGGAGGTCCGGAAGTTGGACGGGACTGGGAGAGGGTGTGAGGTGGTTGATGGGAGAGGGGGCGAGGGRGGGGGAGTGGGGAGGGGGGCCAGGGTTGGGGGAGAGGGCTCCAGAAGGCCCCTCTGTGTTTAAGACATGGTGACTTCTCCTGAGCAGCCTCGATGTCACATCTAACAGCCGGATTTTGGCGAAGGGGTGGGGCCACGTGCTGCGAAAGTGATGCAACAGAACCTGAAAAGATGGAGGGAAATGTGTGGCAAAGGACAAAAAGCAGAGATGAAAAGTAAAAGAGAGAGAGAGAGAGGGAAAGGGAAAGAGAATTAATTACAGTATATCATCAGGACAGTTTTTTCTTTAAACACACAAATAAAATTCAAAAGTTCACCAAGTTTGACATTTACAAAAACAAAAACCAGACAGTTTGGACTGGTCTAACCTAAACTAAGATGGCAATAAATTTCTTTAACTTTCACAAAACACAGTGTGTTTTTGTAGTTTGTGTATTTTGTGCTTTTGATGAGTAGCTGTTTGAAGTGATGGTTTCCAGTACTCATTTCAAACAGCAGGACATCAATGTTCCTGCTTGTGTGACATTTTGCTCAGTCAGTAACAGCTGGCAAAGTGTGCATTTGCTTTGCCAACCAGAATGTCAGTCTAAGAAGGCAGTACTGACGCAAAGAGACGTGGTCCTGATTCAATTGTAACATCAACATTGACGAGGCCTGGCTGTCAGCTGCTGATGGCAAACAGGAGGACGTGTGACGCCACAATGGAACAAGTTTTCTACAGTAAAGTGAAGTCAGCAGTAATTCTGAGGCACTAAAATACATACTGTATAAATCAATAAAAAAAATCTGAACAGAAATTAATGTCAGTCAACTTTGATGCCAGAGTAAAACAACTAAATGCCTGACACTAAATGACACTGCATTCTGATTAAGACTAAAATATTCAACTCAAACGTTCTTTATAAAGATACTGTATTTAAAACAATGCAACTTGATCCAACTCTGAACAGATAAAAAATATATACAATACTGAAATGCAAACCACTAATAACAAAATAAATTGTAAAAACTGACTGTTTGAATAAATATAAATTAAAACCC